GTGTGTGTGTGTGTGTGTGTGTGTGTGTGTGTGTGTGTGTGTGTGTGTGTGTGTGTGTGTGTGTGTGTGTTCTTGGGGATAACCTGGGGAGACAAGTTTAATTTAAATCCCAATTAAAGGCCAAATTAAAGAGCCCTTATACGTGTACGCTAATGCTCTCTTACATGAGTATTAACACACATTTATTCAGTGCTGTCTATATTAAGTAGCTGCGCCTCTACAGTGTAATGCAGTCAAATCCATAAATGCCATGAATGGGACTTGATTACACCGTCACTGTGAAAACATGTAGGGTAAAACCTGTGATGTATATGTGAAGAAGGAAACTCAAATGCATTTCAAAGCTTCAAAACTTAGTTTCAATCTTCAAAAGCCTTTAAATGCTTTTGATTCTGTCTGAGATGGGTGTTGTTCCAAAAAGCGATCATCTGATTTCTAATGTTTCTGTATGTTTCCATGTTTAATGTCTTTACTTATATTTGTAAATAGACTGTGATCAATAGGATTTAAGAAGAGATTATACATAAAATATAGAAATTAGTAAAAGTATTTCTGCGTTATTGTAGCTACATTGTAATGAATCCAGCCCCTTTTGGCCACTTAAAACATCTTTATAGAGCTATGATGTCATAATTGTTGCAATTTATGCTTCCTTCTTGGCAAGATCTTTTAAAAAAACCCTACATTTTTAATGTCAATAAAACTTTTTCGCTGAATAAATAAAGGATACATAAAAGCAACTATGGCAAAAACTAATTGCAGATTTTACTTTATGACAGGAATTATGTTTCTGTCTCAAAATGACTTGATATGCTCAAAAAGAGATAGGTTTGCCATATGTTTGTATGAGTTTATAGGCCAACAACTTATTCAGAGCTGTTTATATATGGGCAATCGTTTTTTGGAAAATACGGGAAATCACTTTTTTGTTTGTGTCGTTTACCCTACTACACAGAAGTTTCCGCTCACACGTTTCTGATTTATTTCCTTTAAGTGTTTAATAATTTAAAAACTTATAAACCAACAAGTCAGACAATTGGTACAACCCCCTTTTAAAAATTCCGCGTATATTTCCTCGCAGCAATAACGTGACCTTTCTTGTTACTGTTCTCTTCCTTCTAAGAAACCCTCTTTCGCTCAGGGCAATCATAAACACACTGCGCCCTTTAAAGGAGCCCTTCATCACGCCCAACCGAGCGTGTTTCTACACGCCTTTGGTCGCTTCCGTGAAAAAAGTCGTACTGCTGTCAGCGTCAGACCACTCCCTCTCTGAATGTGAACGGAAGAGCAGTTTAGTCTTCTTTCCCCAGTGTTCACAGTGTTTCCCACAGACGTGTCTTCTGAGAAGTATGAGCGCAGTAGATGATGGCGGAGGCCAGCGCGCTTGAAGAGCTACAGTCGGAGCTCACCTGCCCGGTGTGTTTGGAACTCTTCCGTGATCCCGTGATCCTTGAGTGCGGGCACCACTTCTGCCAGGTGTGCATCATCCAGTGCTGGGAAGCTAAGGCGGACGAACTCTCGAGTTGCCCGAAGTGTAGAAAGTCGTGCGCCCGGAAACTGCGACCCAACTCGCTCCTGTGCAACGTCGTGGATAGTGTGCGCAGAGCCCGCGCCATGGACGCGGCCGCGGGGATGTGCGTGTGGGACCACGAAGGTACGCTGGAGATGCCCGAGGACCGCGAGCGGGGTTCCAGCATGAGCAGCGTGGCCTCGTCCATCGGGCACTGGCCACGCCTGGGAATGGGTTTGGATATGTGCGAGGAGCACGAGGAGAAGCTGAAGCTCTACTGCGAGGATGACCAGCTTCCCATCTGCCTAGTGTGCGGGATGTCTCGAGACCACAAGAACCACAATGTCATCCCCATTACAGAGGCTTTTGAAAGCTACAGGGTACTGTTTTGTTATTGGCTCGTTTTTAAGGCGGTCTTCCAAAAACTTAAATCAGGCATATACAGACATGGTATTGAGATTTGACCAACAAAATTTTTCTACTATTTTTTTTTTGCTCTATAGTGTAACAGCTGGAGCTTCTAGATAAAACAAGCAATCAGAGTTTCAAGGAGTGCTATACTTTACAATGCTTATTGGACACTCCTCTTATTGTACTACATTACTGTAAGTTTCACAAGTATTCCTATAAGTCAAGTCAAAACTACTTTTTTACTACAAAACTCAACTGCTCTAATGTAGCAAGCAGGCTTTTCATAGATGTAGCAGTTGTGCTTTAAAGAGCACACTCCCTGTCTGCCCCAGGAGCCTTTGGGTATTTTTGTGCATTACAGGAATTCAGCAGGCCTGTGTGAGCTTTACTACCTTTCAAACCTGGCAGCTGACCTTCATCATGTTGTTTGGAGACCCGCTCTGAGAGGCCTCTCTGTGTGTCTTAACATGTTTAAGCAGTGCTAAATTCCAGCTTTGTTAGATTTTTGGGGTCAGGGCGCTCAGTTGAGGATTGGCGGATGTATGACTCCCATTAAAGACGGGACGTTGTTCGGACTGACGCACAAATCTAATTAACTGTTGATTGAAGCGTAATCTGGTTTATATAACCTCTTCTCAACAAACGTTTTTATGTGATTATCTGTTTGTCCTGCAGGGTAAGCTGTCTGTGGTTCTGGAGAGGGTTCAGGTGCAGACACAGGAGGCCACACTCTTCCAAAAACAGACCAATGAAAAGATCCTCCTCATTAAGGTATCGCGTCTCTGTGTGTGCTGGCTGTTTCTTTGTGAAGCACTGTGAAAGAAAAACACTCCAGTGTGTTTGTCCTCTAAATATAACCAGAAATTCTAGCGGCCAGGCAACATTCTGACGCATTCCTCCACCTTTACCTGTCAAGACAGAGGGATGACTGGTGGTACTAATGACTGGTGCTGACACACCATGTTCTTACTCATCTTTTATTTAGACGTGATGATTATCAGGAGCTCATCCTGGACTAAAAAGGGAGGTTCATGAACATTCATACACATCATTTTGTGTTTATCTTCGTCATGCGCTCTTCTTTCACAGGCTGTGCATGTGCCCTAACTGCTTCATGTCACACAGCTTGCGAGGGAACTCAGCTGATAGAGTTTCGACAGGCACAGGAAGAAGTTCACTGAAACGCTCGCTGTGTGTGTGTTAAACACACATATGAGGGTAGTGTTAGAGAATGCACTGGAGCATTTCTGCCGTGGCAGATAACTTCGTCTAGCTCTGCTCCAGGTTATCACAGACCGTTTCCTTTCCTATCTGTGTGTTTAAATGTGTCAGCGGGTGTATTTTCCTGTCTGTCTGTTTGACCCAGTTTACATGCAGATTCACAGATTTTTTTTCTTCACTTCTCCCTTTCTCTGTCAGTATGACAGGATGTGGTTGAGCAGAGGAAGTTTGTCAGTTTTTCTTCTCTGTGTTAAAAATACAGACATACCTCTATCTAGCTAGCTAGCTATCTATCTAGCTATCTATCTAGCTATCTATCTAGCTATCTATCTAGCTATCTATCTAGCTATCTATCTATCTACGGTATCTATCTATCTAGCTATCTATCTATCTACGGTATCTATCTATCTAGCTAGCTAGTTTTTGCTAGCTAGCTAGCTAGCAAAAACTTTTATATCTCAGTAAGATATAATAGTTTGTGCCACATATGACATAAAATGTATCGTCTCCTCATAACAAATACTGATTTTTCCTATTTAATGAACCACTTCTGGTCTGAATGGTCACAGTTTAAAGTTGTTGATTTAATCTGTTGAACATAAGATTGTAGTCATATTTCCAGAGAAGAAAAAAAAACTGTATTTTTATTCAATAATAACAGTAAAATAGGACACTTCCGGTTTTAGTGTCACACCATTGCTGTCAATGAGAATTAAGTGTGTCCTCATTTTCACTGACACGCAACAGTTAAAAAAATAATAATATACTTGTTAAATAATAATAATTCTCTAATAATAAACCCTATTAAAACAACAGTATGTAACAGAAATTTCAATTGTGACAAAATAAAACTGAACCCCACCGTTTGTCACAGCATAGCTCGGTATTTTTCCACCCCAGGAAGAGCTTAAAAAGACTCAGAGATCGTTATCATACAAACTCTAAAGCAGTTAAGCATTTTGAAGACAGACTTGGTTTCTGTCAGCTTTAAGGGGCATTTTTGAGTCGTGCTATTGCTTTAACCTCCTAAGACCCGAACTCTTTCATGGCATGCATTTTTAATTTCTTTTTGCTATTTGGGGGACGCGATTAAAAAAACAAAGAGTTATCTTTTTATCTGATTTTGGTCTACAAGGGCCAGAGATCCACATATGGGGACATTCGTTTTAAATTTCGATAGAACAGTGGCAGTATAATGTCCTCGTAAGAGACATCAGGCCCTTGTAGAGCAAAATGTAGTATTGTGGTCTAGACAACCCAAAATTGGATGTCCACATATGTGGACGCCAGGTTAGAGGAGGTTAAAAAAGAAAAAAAGTTGTACAAATCAGCTGATTTGAACTTTGCCAAATCAGCTGACTGGCAAAGTTCTTGCTCTCTGTGACCAAATTCCTCGCTGCATTTCAGGAGCGAGCGGGAGATTTGGAGGAGCTGGTCTCTGCAGAGTTTGGCCGTATGAGGGAGTTCCTCGTTGAGGAGGAGGAGCGCATAAAGGAAAAACTGCAGAAGCAGAAGGAGGAGAAGCTTCAGCAGCTGGAGGAGGCGCTCACTCAGTCCACGGAGCAGATCAGCCAACTGGAGATTACAGCCGATAAACTTCGGCTCAAACTTAGAGAAGAAGAAAATCCTGAGCAACTCAAGGTGAGAGAAGAAGAGACGGGGCAGAGGAGAAGGATTTATGGACGAGCTACATATTTCTCATTATCTTTCAGTATACTTTGCTAATAACTGGAGCACATATAAAAGAATACTGAATAAAGAATGAATGAAAGTCCCATGTTTGTAATCACAGGCCTGTTTTTATCTGTTTCAGGGGATCAAAGATTTTATTGGAGGGTGAGTACTACTGTAATCTTATCCAAGAAGTTCTGTCAGAGCTAATCAAATATCTAGGCCATCTTCTCATTTATCTCATCATGACTTTTGTCCAAAAGTCACAAGGCAATCACGTCCGTTTTGAGTTGTTTTCGAACAGAATGAGAGGTTGTGATTGTTCCAGCTAGAAACACATTTTTTCAGTTTCAAATTTCATTTTAAATGTGGAGAGTGAAGGTTTCGTTAGTTTCTTCTTAAATGAAGGTTACTTGTACTTACTTAAATACTTCGAATATGCTATAAAACACAAGTTCACAAGCATATAGTTTTGGATGTTTCATAATCTTTAAAACGACTCTCTTTCCCTCTCCCTCTCAGGGCAGAGAGCTTGTTTGAGCGCCCTGCAGAGATGGCTGTGGACCTGCAATCTGGAGACTTTCTGGGACCTCTCCAGTACAGGATTTGGAGGAAAATGAGCTCAATTCTTCAGCCAGGTATAAAGATAACACACGTCATGCAAACCAAGGTCAAGAGAACAATAGTGCTCATTAGTCATTAACTGCCTAGTCTGGAAAAAACACTGACGCAGCGCTTGTAGCCTCTAGTATCCTTCAAAAACCAAAACCACAGGCCCCAATACAACAAATCCAACTTCAAAGCCCCCGCAGAGCAACAGAAGGCCTTATACAACTGATTTCACAGACTCACTAATGCTTTTTATGACAAACAGTGGTGTGACATCAAAATTTGTTGGAATACTCCTTTAAAAAGATTTGGCTGCGTCTAGAAAAGTTCAACTCATTGTTCAGTCTCGTTTCAGCCTGCTCTGACTGGCAGTGAGTTTCAAGCGTGACTCCATTATTTCTCTGAATTTAACCTCTTTGTTAGTCGAGCGTACACATGCTTACTTTGGGTCTGTGATGACCTCAAACATCACTGCTGTAAAACCAGGCTGCTCTCCAGAAATTTATTTAATCTCTGGATACATCGGAGCCACGTTATTTATATTTAATTTGCGTCCATGTAGCTGATGCTCGTCTTACACTAATTGCGCAGGCTGGCATTCAGTATCTTGCTGAAGGTCACTCCAGAGGAGTTCGGGTGGTGTCGGTTCTTGTAAACATGTTTCACCTTCATTGGTTTGTCTCTGTTTTTCATGTCCTCCCAGCTGTGACACCTGTGACCCTTGACCCAGACACAGCCTACCCTTGTCTGTGGGTTTCCCCGTGTCGCACCAGCGTCCAGGTAGGAAAACTACAAGCGAACCTGCCCAACAACCCCGAGCGCTTCACCCGCTACAACATTGTCCTGGGCTCTGAAGCCTTCTCTTCAGGCAGACACTACTGGGAGGTCGAGGTAGGCTCTAAGACGGCGTGGGGACTGGGTGTGGCCACAGCTTCCGTCAACAGGAAAGATGAGATCAGCCTTTGCCCGGATGATGGTTTCTGGACGCTGGTGCTGAGGGACAGCGG